AAAACTAATCATACAAGATGCATGAAACTATAAATGCATCATAAATAATACATAAAAATGTAAAGGCCTGAAACCAGACCAAACTAAGTGCAATATGGATTGTGATGAAAACAACGTGCACAATAATCAACAAGTGAACAGAAGAGATGTATTCAACATGGCCCACGCATTACGTCACTATCCTGTGACCTTGATGAAGTCATAGGACAATGACGTAACATGTGGGTCTGTTAGCAGAGCATGGTGATGGTCGCTGCCATTTTGGTACACTCTGGAAGTATAAACCCATATCAATACATGTGTTTGAGGCCTGATTTCAACTGATGTGATGTAAGTGTTCATTTGGCATTTATCCATTAAAGTTTTTGCTTTAAAATTACTACACTATGGGAATGCTCTCTCTTTTTCCTCTGGAGTGCGTCTGAGCAGGCTGATGTTCCTGTGAAAAGGATTATCAGTTTCAACACTACTGAAATCATTACAGGTATACGGTGAGGAAGGCCATATTCCTGTGATCGGTATGATTCTATCATCCTGGATATCTATTAAGGGCCCTGGGAGTGTGAGGCCTGAAAGCTGTGTGGCCCACTGGGGTCTTGGCGTGCAGGTGAGGAGACATTTTAGCAGGTGACGGATCTATCATTCATTTCAGTTGCTTTGTTTGTTTGGAGTTGGCGGTCTATTTACATGGACTTTATGCCGATTTGATGATCACTTATGTTTATTTTGATGATCACTCATTATTTGTTATATGTCACATTGCTTTAAGTATTTTTTGTGCTTATTGACGCACATTTATTTCCATTGTGCATTTTTCACTGGCATCAATCCTGATTATAAAGTGCATTTTTAGTTTCATGCACCTTGTATGATTAGTTTTGCCCATATATTTTTTTGCTTTTTGATTTTGGCACAGTTTTCTTCGCATGGTGCTTTTTGTGACGTGTTAGTCCTATTATGTTGAATACATCATTTATGTTCACTTGTTGATTATTGTGCACATTGTTTTCATCACAATCCATATTGCACTTAGTTTGGTCTGGTTTCAGGCCTTTACATTTTTATGTATTATTTATGATGCAATTATAGTTTCATGCATCTTGTATGATTAGTTTTGCAGATATTTTTTGCCATTTGATTTTGGCACAGTTTTCTTTGCAGTGTTTTTTGTTTACTTTTATTTAGGATGTTTTAGTCCTATTATGTTGAATACATTATTTATGTTCACTTGTTGACTATTGTTCATGTTATATTTCATCACAATCTATATTGCACTTAGTTTGGTCTGGGTTCAGGCCTTTACATTTTTATGTATTATTTATGTACACTTGCTGATTATTACTCATGTTGTCTTTGTCACAGTTCATATTGCACCTAATTAAGTCTGGATTCAGGCCTTTATACTTAACCCCAAAACAGAGGTGATATTTTTTCTTCCTCCCCACTCTTCGAATTATTGTGTCCTTACTATTGATATTAGCGCAACACCATTTTATTTGTTTTGTTTCCTTGTGTTAGTGGTGGCTAGGTTTAGAAGTTTGCAGCTTTTTTCAATAGTCCTATCTATACCTATAGCAGCGCAGAAGGTTTTTTCTATTATTTGTGTTTTGAGATTGGTCTCCTGGCACTTGGAATAAAACACCTAGGATGTAATCAATCCCCCATTGCATTCTGATCACCCTCTTTCATTCCCTGATGACAGCCTTTGGCAAGAAATTGCAGGCAGGTTGGATTTGCCCAGCCTGAACTACGGTTTATCTGAGATATTATTGCAAAGAACATTCCATGTTGATGATCAATCTGGTCTTAAAAGGAGAAGTATAACCAAAGCTCTTTTTGTTATACTTCACCTATGGATCACAGACTTTCAGTTAGTTTTGCACTCCTGTGATCCGTTTTTAGCTTACAGCGGGCTAAAGGCCATTGTCAAGCTGTCACAGAACTGGTCCAGGCTGTGAAGAGATCCCAAACACATGGTCAGGATCCACCCAGATGCCTGGACCAGCAGCTGGCTCATCCTCTCTGTGAGCCGCTGGGAGAGAGAGCCAGCCACTCCCTGCCCTTCCACAGTCCAATGCTCCAGTGAGCACTTGACAGGCAGAGCAGAGGATGATGACTGACAGTCCCCAACTCTCTGCTCACAGTATGCGAAGAACTAAGCGAACGACAGTGTCTGATTGCTTAGTTCTCAGTGCAGAGTCTGAAGGGGATGGATGCAGCATCGGATTGATGCTGCATCCAGCTAGGTTAGTGTAATTTTTTTTTCAAAATCCCATACCTCTCTTTATTAAATTTTGGCAGTCATTGTGACCAGTATATAATATCTTTCACAATCCCTGAAGGTCAGCGTGTTGTGCAATGGCTTCTCTTTTGGTCTTGTTTTAATCTTGCCATCATGACATTAAAGCGGATTTTTACTGGAAGCTTGTTTGTCCACCCCCCCTTCAACTGCCATATTTGGCAACTTTTGGGAGGGAAGGGGGAGCGGTAAAGTGATCCAGAAGTTCGGCCCCCTCCTTCCTCTCGGAATCTCCTGGGAATCTTCACAGGTCCCAGAAGACTGCTGGACCAATCAGAATGCACAACGTGACTCGCGCATGCGCAGTGAACACCTTGCTGTGAAGCCGCAAGCTGTCACAGCTTGGTGCCCTCAGTTGTGAAGAGCCGAGGAGAGAAGGGATGGCATAGATGAGCACATTGCTGGACTCTGGGACAGGTAAGTGTGTGTTTATTAAAAGACAGCAGCTACTGTTTATGTAGCTGCTGACTTTTAATAAACACAGAACTGACTGGAACTCCGCTTTAATTCAAATCCTATCGTAAACCTGTGCTTAGAGAAACAAGGAAGCTGACCTGTTTCTGAAAATGACAGTTTTCCTAACTGTAATGGTGGTCATCTGGGTAGTTAGTGGCCATCAGTTTATATCTGGTGTGTCAGCTGAAACATACTGAGGGACATTTATCAAAACTGGAGCAGCTATTCATGGCAACTAGAGATGAGCGAATCGAACCAGGCGAAGTGGAATTCGTTTCGAATTTCAGGAAAAATTTGATTCGCATCGAATCCGAATTTTAGCAAACTTCGGGTGCACGAATCGAATTTTTCCCGATCAGCCGGCAAAAGTGTCACTGCAGAGAGCTCCGCTATTTCTGACAGTTCTGACAGTTCATTTACAGCGGTTGAAACATTGTATCTATTTGTTTCCATTTAGGATACAGATGTTTTTATTCGGAAATAAATAGATACAATGTTTCAACCGCTGTAAATGTGAAGGAACTGTCAGAGAACTGTCAGAAATAGCGGAGCTCTCTGCAGATACACTTTTTGCTGTACTGGAATACTTCTTCTTTTCATACTACTTCTTTTCATTCTTCTTTTCATACTTCTTCTTTTCATTCTTCTTTTCATACTTCTTCTTTTCATTCTTCTTCTTCTTCTTTTCATTCTTCTTCTACTTTTCATTCTTCTTCTTTTCATTCTTCTTCTTCTTCTTTTCATTCTTCTTCTTCTTCTTTTCATTCTTCTTCTTCTTCTTCTTTTCATTCTTCTTCTTTTCATTCTTCTTCTTCTTTTCATTCTTCTTTTCATTCTTCTTCTTCTTTTCATTCTTCTTCTTCTTCTTCTTTTCATTCTTCTTCTTCTTCTTTTCATTCTTCTTCTTCTTCTTTTCATTCTTCTTCTCATTCTTCTTCTCATTCTTCTTTTCATTCTTCTTCTCATTCTTCTTTTCATTCTTCTTTTCATTCTTCTTCTGCTTCTTTTCATTCTTCTTCTTCTTTTCATTCTTCTTTTCATTCTTCTTCTTCTTCTTTTCATTCTTCTTCTTCTTTTCATTCTTCCTTTCATTCTTCTTCTTCTTCTTTTCATTCTTCTTCTTCTCATTCTTCTTTTCATTCTTCTTCTTCTTCTTCTTAGTCGTGCCCCGTGACTGCCCAAATGAGTGAAGTGTGCGGTGATTCTAAGATCGACGGCACTCATCTGCATGTCATACTGACTGACAGTATTATTTCTCTTCCCCAGCAGACTCCAAGGGCATTTAAATTAAAGGTACAGTGTTCTGCACTAATATAAAGGCTCTCTGAAGCCTAGAAACCCTTTAAATAAGTTAAATTCGCGGTGAATAAATTTGCATCGAATCAAATTTCTCCCGCAAATTCGGCGAATCGGCCGAATCGAATTTTTGAATAATTCGCTCATCTCAAATGGCAACCAAAGCTTAAAGCGTAACGTCATCCAAAAAGGGAAGTTCTGATTTTACCCCCCCCGCCACATTTGGAATACATTTTTTTGGGAGGGAGCGGGTACCTGGTTTTGACAGGTATGTCTTGTCGGATTGCAGTGGTGGACTCATCAGAAGTTCTCCTCCCTGCCCACAGCCTTCTGGGACCCGTGATGTGTCCATGCACAAAGTGCAACACGGCTCGCGCATGCATGGCGTAAAGCCGGCTGTGAAGGAATCACAGCTGGTTGAGCACAGTTAGCATGCCAGTGCTAGGGACCCAAAGAACAGTAAAGAACTGGCTCGGGTGAGGATGGCGTTCGATCACTGGACAGGTGAGTGTCTGTTTATTAGACGTCAGCAGCTACAATTTTTGTAGTTGCTGACTTTTCATTGTTGCAGAACTGACTGAAGCTCCTCTAACAAGATGAAGATAGAAGCTGGTTGGTTACTATGAACAGCTGCTTGAGTATCAATAAATGTCCAATTATTTTCTTTTGAATTAGCTTTCACTAAATATTATTAGCTATTGTTATGTTGTATAATGGAATAGTGTACATCATTCAAAAATATTTGCTCACATGTGGTTCATTTAAAAATAAAATGTTTGTTTCAAACAAATCATATGCTGAGATTTTTAATATGTTTCAGCTGTGAAAATCGTTTTATTTTCAGGTGTTAATTTTTTCTATTTTCAGGTGTTTTCTGTAATGTTAGAAGATTTGGAAAGATTGCATAACATGTAATAGTCATTCAACATTCAAGAGTCGAATCACTCACCTTTATCTCCTACAATATCAGCTACCCACTTGGCTGTAAGGCTCACATTCTGGCTGTCTGTGACATCTAGGATCACAGTCTGCAGCTTATGGGATCCTTCCTTTTTCAGGTCTTCAGCTCCTTTCTTAGTCAAGCAAGCTGCAAGAACATTTAGTCCTCTTCTGTCCAACTGTTTTGCTGCTAAATTTCCAAAGCCAGAGTCACATCCTGTAATCAGCACATACTTGTTTGTGAGATTTGGGAGGATCAGACGTTTTTGATTCCATTTGTATAGATAGAACAGAGCTAGAATCCCTAGTAGTAGAAGCCACATGATGACAAGGCCTGCCAAGAAAACCCAAGAAATATAGGTAGAATCAAATAGAAAACAGAATACCCAAGAATCCTGGAGTTTATGAAACAGCCTATCTAACCTTTTCACACTGGAAGAACCCTTCAAAAAAATTTAGGTTTTGGGGAATCTCTGCTGTAATCACAAAATTAAAAGGAAACATTAATGGTTAGTCAAGGAACTCCAAGCAGCATTTGAAGGAACCATAAAGCTCCACAGAACCTTGGCTGACAAAGACTAGAAGAACATATACTTCTACATAAGATATTTACTTGTTTTATATATGATTCCCAACAAGATTCATATTGTAGAGGGTTAGCGGGTGAGTTGGAGTTATAAGGAGAGTTAGCGTGAGGGAGGGGGCATTACTCTCTGCGCCAAAAACTATTAGTACTGAATATTCAGAGCTGAAAAGTAATGTATAACAAAGTGTACATTCAAAGTAGCTCTAATATGCTTCAGCAAACTAACAGAGTATTTTAGACACCCCCTTGTCTCACAGATGGCAAGGCACAGGTTTGGCCATAGCTAATCTAAACTCTTCATGTTGAATTATTGGAAGGGGGTCAGAAGTTTGGATATATAAGGGGACACTGTTGACCTCACCTAAATGAAGTAGCTAATGGCTACTTCACTCCAATTTTACTTCATGTTTTTCTAGTACATCAATTTCCAGTAAATTCCTTCAAAAGATCTTATAGCGTAGCCTAACAGAAACTTTTAGATTCTGGGACCTTAGTTCATGTGTTGAATGTGTAACACAGTTCTGTAACGCTACACTAGAAACTGGGGGTCATAAATGGGTCTTTTTTTCCTCCATCCCCACAAGTGAGGTGGATGAAGGAAATTCTCCCTCAGAGACATGGAATTCTGACAACAGGACTCTCACCTGTCATAATACACTGATCAGCAGCTGCAGCCAAATAGGTGCAACTGCTGACCAATACAAATTTTCATACATTCTCATTCAACAAAAGTCAATCAAACAGGGATGCCAGTACATGGATCAAAATTTGTCTTGACCCTGCAGAACCTGTAAAATTTTTAACCATCTATGGCTAGCTTAACTTTGACATCATTAACAGGTGACAGTGGCTTTGCTTATTTCCTTATTACAAGGACTCACAACTTCTTCATTACAAAGGCAACAGAAATCCCCCTGCTATGTCCCTACTTTACTACACAGGGATCTTATTCTTACTATCTGGGCAGCATCTTCCATATCTTCCCTCACATCCAAAGCTCTAGCAACTCTGGGTAAGATCCCTCCTCTTGAGAAGATAGATAAAACCTTAATGTTTTTTTTTTTTTTTAATTTAAATATTTATTTATTTTTTTTTTCAAATAAATACATATTACACTTATAATCACATAAAACCAACAAATAACTTTTATTCCTTACTAATCTCCTTTCCCACTCCCTCCTATCCTATCCCATCCCTCCCTCCCACCTCCCTTCCCCCCCCCCCCTTCCCGTCACCTACCCTACAATATTTTCACCACTACCAGTTAGAAGAAAGAGAGATATTTTTGCTATACACTCTGTCTACTTCTGTTTCAACTTTAACTCCTCCCATTTGCCCCATCTCAAATAGTATCCTATCCTATCTTCTTGCATATAAATTATTTTTTCCATCCTACAGATCTGGTCAACTCTCTCCATCCAATCCTCCTCCCTCAGCACTTCTATTTTCCGCCAGAACTTAGGTATCAACCCCTTTGCTGCGTTCAGATAATACCAAATACCCGTCTCCTTATATTTGTTCACAGAGTACTCTGTACAATGAAAGAGACAAGTCTCTGGATCCAAACCAACATCAATTTCAGTTATCCTCCTAATTAAATTCACTATCTCCTTCCAGAACACTTGAATTTTTGGGCATCCCCACCATATAGGATATACCGTGCCTCTCTCACCACATCCTCTCCAACACCACAGTGACTTCTCACCACTCATCTTATTTTCCACTTCCGGTGTAACATGCCATCTTGTCAAGCACTTGTAATTCATTTCCACCTCTCTCATAGATACATTCTCGTGAATTAATCTAAATATTTTCTTCTGTTTGTCCTCATCAATCTCCACCCCCCCAAATCTCTATCCCAATAACTATATACTTTGGCTTTGTAGTTGTGTCTAAATCAGTGAGGATCTTATATATTTTTCCTGTGCCGTGTTTCCCATCTCCCCTTGACTCAAGTAGTCTCTCAAATTGATTCCACTCTTTTCTAGGTCTCAGGGGTTTTGGGAGCTTCCTAACAAAGTGTTTCAATTGATGATACTTCCATTCATCTATCTTAGTGAAAACTTCTCCACCCTCCTTTTCCAAATCTTTAAGTGACTTCAATTCCCCCCCTCCACCATAATGTCTCTCAACTGGGCACTCTCTTTCTTAATCCATCTTCCCACCATCTTCTCCCGACCTGGGGGAAACAATTTTGTGTTCCTCAGTGGCATTAATTGTGAATTAAAATCCCATCCCATCTGTTTGTGCATTACATCCCAAACTCTCAAAACATTCAAAGTGTACAAACTAGTGTTATCATCTAATTCTCTATATTGTGCTGGTGGTAACCATACAATTTCACTCAGTATCCTTCCACTTAGTGTATTTTCAATTTTGACCCAACTTTTCCCTCCTAGGTTATGTGTCCAATCAAATATTCTTGTCAGAATTACCGCTTTATAATATCTTTTAAAATCTGGCACTCCCAAACCCCCCCGTTCTCTAGTTCTGCTTAAAACTTCATAAGATATTCTAGTTTTTTTTATTCCTCCATATATATTTTGTTATCAATTTTTTAATTATCTTAAAATATGCCTCAGGGAGCTTAATAGGGACCATTTGGAATTTATATAAGATTTTAGGTATAAATATCATATTTATCAAATTTATGCGTCCTAGCCAGGTCGGAAGTCCTCCTCCCATTTTCCTCAACTCCCCCATAATCTCATTTAATAATGCAATATAATTTAAATTATATAAGTTCTGATATGAGGTCCTAAGTTTTATTCCTAAATATTTTAACTCTCATTCCTTCCATTTAAAGGGGAATTCTCTTTGTAACTTTTCTTTTTCACTATTTGGGAGATTAATATTCAAAATCTCCGTCTTAGTTATATTGATTTTCAAGTTTGATAAATTCCCCACATTCCTTCAAACTCTTCATTAAATTTGGGAGTGTTATCCTGGGATTCCCCACATAGAACAAGAGATCATCCGCAAATGCAGCCACCTTATGTTCTCTATCTGGATTCCCTTGATGTCCACATTCATCCTTATTGTAGACAACAGAGACTCCAAAGACAAGACATACAATAATGGAGGCAACGGGCACCCCTGTCTTGTACCATTTGACATCCCCAAAGGATCAGACCTCTCACCATTTACCATAATTTCTGCAGAAGGCCTACTATACAACTTTCTTATCCACTCTCTCATCCTGCCGCCTATCCCCAGGACCTCCAAAGTGTCCATCATAAAGCCCCAGTTAACTCTGTCAAATGCCTTTTCGGCATCAATTGACAACACCACTACCAGGTTTTTCCCTTTTCTACTATTCTGGATGAGTAACAAGGATCTCAACCCATTATCCCTGCCCTCCCTTCCTGGGACAAAGCCCACCTGATCTCCGTGTATCCAGTCCGGCATCAAATCTTCCAACCTGTTTGCCAAAACTTTGCATATAACTTGGTATCTATATTCAACAATGAGATAGGTCTATAACTTGCACACTGGGAGTCATCCTTTCCTTCTTTATGAATCAATACCACATGAGCCTGTAGAGATTCCCGCCTCATCTCCATCTCTCCACCCAAAGCATTCATATATATCTTCAGTTTGGGTATTAACAATTCATTATATTTTTTATATCTCACAGTAAACCCATCTGGCCCTGGGCTTTTCCCAGATTTAGAGCTTTTTAATGCTATTTTTATTTCTTCCTGTGTAATCTCTGAGTCTAGAAAATTCATATGTACTTCATTACGTTTTGGTAAACCTGCATTTTTTAGATATGTCTTTCTTTTCTCTATGTTCGACTTTCCCAATCCATTTATAGTATCATGTGGGGTGATATTATACAGCTTACTATAATACTCTCTAAACACATCAACAATATCTTTAGTTGAATAAACCAATTCTCCTTTGGGGTTCTTTATTTTTTCAATATAATTCCTATTCTTTTTCCTCAAAGCTCTCATTAGGTACTTTCCTGGTTTCTCTCTCCATTTATACCTCTCACTTAGAACTTTATTAAAGACTCTTCTCCTTTCCTCTTCCATCAATAACTCTTAATCAATAATTCTTCTTTCTTTTTTTTTAATTTTCTGATTTATCTCTTTTGTTATTCTGTTCTTATGCATCTGTTCAAGATCAAATAGTTCCTTTAAGAGTCCATTCATTTTTTCTCTCTCCTTTCTTTTTTCTTTCTAACCCCAATCGCGATTAGTATACCTCTTATGTACAGTAAGCCTTATGCGCCTCCCATACTGTAGCAACCGACACTTCTCCTGTCTCATTCTCCTCAAAGAATCTCTTGATCTCTTCCTCTATCTTCTTATCGGTCTCTTGATCCAGGAGAAGTGCTTCATTCAACCTCCAAGTCAGACCTCCTGTCTTCCGCCTACCCCATCCAAATTTCATTATGACAGGAGCATGATCCGAAATCAACCCACCTTCTATATTTACTTTGACCACAGATTCAATAAGTCGATGCTCTATTAATATATAATCCAATCTCGAATACATCTTATGTGCATTTGAGAAGAAGGTATAATCTCTATCTTTCATGTGCTTAATTCTCCTTGTATCCACCAATTGGCACTCCTGTAGTGTCTTCTTCAATTGTCTCAGAGACCTACCCCCCTCTCTCTGCACACTAGAAGATGTATCCATCTGTGGGTCCATGCATACATTAAAATCTCCAGCCACT